CGGGGCAGGCGCGGGACGGGGCCGCGCAGGGCGGCGCTGCCGGTACCGAGCTGGGGCGGGGGGCGCGGGGCTCCCGGGTCCCCTCAGGGCCCGAGGGTGGGGGGGACCCGCACCCCTCTGCCGGCGGTGCCCGCGGGTAGCGCCGACCCCGCCGCGCTCTGTCCGCAGGCATCCAGGAGGCGGAGCGTCCTTGTGGACCACCACACCTGAGGGCAGGTAAGGGCGGGCGCCGCGCCCTGGGGCTGCCGCCACCGCTACCCCCGAGCCGAGTCCCGGCCTCAGCCAGGCCCTGTTCTCCGTGCCCCGCGCAGAGCGGCCCGCGCGCGGGTGCCGATGGCAGCCGAGGGTCTGCCTGCGGGGGACCCCGCAGCGGCCCCGTCCGGCTGGGAGCTGGAGGCCTGGTACCAGGACCTGCAGGAGGTGCTGGCGGCCGCGGAGCCCAGCGGAGCGCCCCCGCCCTGGGGGCCCGAGCAGGTGAGGGGCGGCAGCGGCCCGGGCAGGGGGCACGGGGCAGAGGGTCGCCGTCACCCGGCGCTGGTGCCCGCTCTCGGCCCGCAGGCGGCGCTGTGCGGCGCGGAGGGCGCGGGCCCGGAGCCCTGCGCGTTGGACGCTGCCCTGGCCGCGGAGCTGCTGGAGCTGCTGGGGCCGGAGAGCGGAGCCGGCCCCGAGCCAGCGCCGCCGGGCGCAGCCTCCGGACGCGGGTCCCCGCCCCAGGAGGCGGCTGCCGCTGCCCGGCGCGGGGTGAAGCGGCAGCTCCGCGGCGGCACCGCGGCGAGCCGGGAGCGCGCCAAGCACCGGGAGCGCGCCAGCGAGCAGCGGGTGCTGGAGCTGACGGCGCACAACGAGCGGCTCCGCGCCGAGATCCAGCGGCTCAGCACCGAGGTGCAGCGCACGCGGGCGGCCCTCATCGACCGCATCGTGAACCTCCGCCGGGCCTAGGCAGCGCTGCCAGGACTCTGATGGCTCCAGAGCGGGGGGCAGCCATGAACTGGAAGGGTGCTGCCCCGCCGGCACTGACTGATGCTGTGGGGAGGGCACCGCGAGCACGCACGGTTGTACATGGCTTGCATTTATTACAGACATAGCCACCAGCCCGGTGTGGTCTCTGGGCAGCACTGGCGGGCCTGGTGCTACTTCTTCTGCTTCCCCTTGGGCGCAGGGACTTCAGGGCTTTTGCCCTCTGCTAATGCCAGCTGCTTCTTCAGCTCCAGCAGCTTGGCCACCTCCACCTCGATCTGGGTCTTCTCTGCCTTGCTGGCCTTCAGCTGCCGAACGTGGTTGCCCTGGGTCAGGTCGGGGGGGGGGGGGAAGCAATGAGGGCTTGGGGAGGTAAAGGCAAGACAGGGCCACCCCTCTGCCCCCTGCTCACCTGCCTGGCCACCTCCTGCATCAGCTCCTGCAGCCGCTGAGGGTCAGCGGGGGCTACGAGGGTCTCTGGGGCCAGAGGAGGTTGTGGGGCTGGGGGTGTCTGCTTGGCCTGGGGAAGGACAGCACCAGGTGTGAGCCCTGGTCCCAGCCCTCAGGGGCAGAGCTCTGCACCCAGCTCCCCTCATACTGGAGAAGGGGAGGTCGCTGCAGTACCCCGGAGATCTTCACGGTGGGAGAGGAGAGACAGCGAATGAGAGGGGGACAGAAAGCAGAGGCGGAGGAGCTGTGGAGACCCTCACTCACCTGTGCCCCCCCGAAGCGCTTGCGCAGGGCTTCAACCTGTTCGGTCTCCAGCTTCTGGAAAAGGGGACTCACCTGCAGCCGAGGGGGGAGATGGGGTCACCCCACAGAGCCAGTGCCCCTGGTCCCCCCAGCACTGCCCTCCCTTCCACCTACAGTGCCCACACGATGCCCAGGGGGCAGGGTGCAGGTGAAGTCATGGCTCAGGACGAAGCAGTCCGGGGGGATGCAGAGCTGCCCCTGGATGGCCAAGCTGACACTGGGCATGTAGGGCTGCAGCATGACAGCCAGCAGGGAAGCCATGTTCACAGCCACACCAGTCACTGTCCCTGCACGCTGCCTGGGGGGCAGGAAACCCTGTCAGTGCCAGCTCCCAGCCTGCCCCCCCCAGCACCCCCATCTTCCCCTGTACCTGTCATTTTCATCCCCCTTGATCCGCTTCCAGGGCTCGTTCACCTGGATGTACTGGTTGCCGTGACGAGAGATGCTGAGGATGCATCTCAGAGCGTCCCGGATGCTGGGGGGGAAGAGGGGGGTCAGTGCCTGCTGCAGGGCAGGGCTCTGCCCTCCACCCTGGTAGCCCTGGCTCCAGGGTTCCAGCCACCGACCGGACTTTCTCCAGCAGCTGGTGGTACTGGCGCAGCTCCAGCGTGACACGGGCCAGGAGCCGCTTGTCATCGGGTGTCAGCACCATGCTGGGGACGGTGCCACCAAAGAACTTGCACACGAACATGCCAGCCCTGGGTACAGAGGCAGAGCAGGCATCAGCACAGCCTGGGGACAGGGACGGGGACAGGCCCTGCCCAGCCAGGCCGCCCCAGAACCTGTTGATGAAGTTGCCCAGGTTGTTCAGCAGCTCGGAGTTGTTCTTGAGCATGAGGTCGCTCCAGGAGAAGGCGCTGTCCTGCCCCTCAGGCCGCACGTACAGCAGGTAGAAGCGCCAGATGTCCGCAGGGATGCCCGTGTCCTTGGCCATGTCCCCAAACACTCCCAAACCCCGGCTCTTGGAAAACTTCCCATCCTCGTAGTTCAGGTACTCTGGGGAGGGCAGCAGAGACCCCACCATGGGGCCCAAGCACAAACACACACCACACCCCACACCCCCCATAACCCACAGTGCTCCTCCAGTACCTGTGGCAATGAGGTGGTTCACCAGGGTGTAGTTGTCATCAGCACCCAGGAGCGAGCAGGGGAATATGACGCTGTGGAACGGAACATTGTCCTTGGCCATGAAGTTGTAGAGCTCAACCTGATGGGTAGCAGAGGGGGAACACATCAGTGGTGTCCAGCTCTACCTCAACCCCCACCTCCACCCTGCAGCAGCACCAGGCTCCTACCTGCTGTGGGTTCTTCCACCACCTCTCCCACTGGCTGGTGTAGTTGGCTGTAATGGACAAGTACCCAATGGGAGCATCAAACCACACATAAAAGACCTGAGCAAGAGGGTGACGTGTGAGCATGGGACCCCTGAGCAGGGCACCCGGGTACAAGCACTGCAACCCAGGGCCAGGCTGGAGCCACCTTGTCACGGAAGCCATCGAGGGGCACCGGAGTGCCCCACTTGAGGTCACGGGTGATGCAGCGGGGCTTGAGCCCGTCCCGGATCCAGGAGCGGGTGATGTAGCGAGCGTTGGCCGTCCAGTCCCCCGTGGCCCAGGACTGCTCCAGCCAGGCTTCCAGCCGCTGCTCCAGCTGCAGGGAACACAGAGGGGTGGGCAGTACCAGGGGTGCCCCAACCCCTCTGCGCTCCCCCAGGGACGAGGCTCACCTTGGGGAGATCGAGGAAGAGGTGCTGGGTGGGCTTCACTACAGGGACACCCCTGCAGAGTTTGCACTGTGGGCTCTGTCAGCAGAAACAGGGGCTGGACGAAGCCCAGGGCAAGGCAAGAGGGGGTCTCAGGCAGAGCAGGGGCAGGGTTGCAGGGTGGTCCCCAGGGGGCTCCTGTCCCACCTTCAGCTCCACAGCGTTGATGAGTTTGCCGCATTTATCACACTGGTCCCCCCGCGCCTCCTCGTAGTTGCAGAAGGGGCAAATGCCCTCCACGAAGCGGTCGGCCAAGAAGCGCTGGCAGCCCTCGCACCGCAGCTGCTCCACCGTGTCCTGCAGCAGGAACCCGCGCTCCAGCAGGCGCTGGAAGATGTCCTGGGCAATCCTGGGTCAGGACAGGAAGAAAAAGGGGGCAGCCCCCCATCAGCCTAGGAGCACAAAGCACCCTCAGCTAGGCCCCCAGCATCAGCCCCTGCATGCAAGCCCCTCACGTGGTCTGGCTCGGCGTGGTGGTGCGGCCGAAGCAGTCAAAGGAGATGTCAAACCAGCGGTAGATGTCGGCGTGGATGGCGTTGTACTTGTCGCAGATCTCCTGCGGTGTCAGCCCCTCTTCCACCGCCTTGGTCTCAGTGGCGGTGCCGTACTCGTCCGTGCCGCACACGTAGAGCGTGTTCCAGTTCCGCAGGCGGCAGTACCTGCCAGGCAGGGACCTGTGACACCCCTGCAGGCGGCGGGGGCCACGACAGCCCCCCGATGGAGATCCCCAGGGAGCCTTCCCGCTCCCGAGCGTCACCTGGCAAAGGTGTCAGCGCTGAGGACGCAGCCAATGATGTTGCCAAGGTGGGGCACGTTGTTCACATAGGGCAGAGCGCTGGTGATCAGGACGTTCCTCATGCCCTCCACGGGCAGCCTGGCACGAGCAGGGCACTCAGGGCAGGCACAAGGAGCAACAGGGCCACCACCACCCCCCTCACCCCAACAGCGTGGGATGAGCCTGGGTCCGAGACGTGTGGGGCAGCCCTCGTGCTGCCCCAGGACTCACACAGGTTTCTGAGGCTGCCAGGGCTTGGGCAGCGCCGCAGCCCCACGGGCCCAGGCATCTGCAGCAGCTGCGATCTCATCCTCTGTCAGGGCCCGCTCAGAACCTTCCTCCTCCTGCAGGGGAAGCAGGTCCCGGTAAGGGGCTGTCAGCACCAGCGCCACTGGGGCCCATCCTGGGGCCAGGGCTGCACCTCGGGCTCGTTACTGGTGGCTCTCTGCATAGCCAGGCAGGGGGGAGGCTGCTTCTGGAGGTAGGACTTGAACTCCAGCAGCGCCTGGGGCATCAGGACGGTGTCGGCAGCGTCTCTGCAAGCCTCCAAGAGCATCATGTTCTGGAACCACGTCCTCAGCGCCTGCAGCTCACCTCGGGAGGTGACGAGAGAGCAGCGTGATTCTTACGGCCACGGCACGGCAAGGGATGCCCCCTCCGTGCCACGCTTACCTGGCAGGCTGCTCTCCTCCTGGAGGATGGGGTACAAGGTGCCCCACACAACCACATCAGCCACGGATGGGGTGTCCTGTGCCAGAGCAGCCGTCAGGGCCGGCCGCAGCCGGAGCAGCCCCCCAGGGACAAGGACCCAGCGCGCGGGGCTGCGCCCCGGTGCCACTCACCCCCGCGAGGAAGGCAGCGCCCGTCCTGGCCAAGCTCTGCTCGATGTGGGCCAGCGGCTCCCGCAGGGCCTGCACCGCCTCCGCCGCCCTCCTGCCGAGCACCAGCCGGGCGTAGAGCGCGGCGGCGGCCAAGGGCTGCGGGCGAGGGCAGCGCGGTCAATGCGGGCCGGGCCCGGCGGGGGCGGGGGGGGGCCGGTGTCCGCGCACCCACCTGCAGCTCGGTCGCCTCCCACTCCAGCCACTGGTTGCTGAGGTCCGAGGGCTCGTCCCCGCGGCGCAGGAAGAAGAACCTGGAGGCGGGGAGCGGGGGTGAGGTGCGGACGGGGAGGGGGGGGGCAGCCGCGGCCCGCGCGCCCCCGGTACTCACTGGCAGATGGCGTTGGCGGAGAAGAGGACGGCGCCGCTCTCCAGCTCCAGCGCCGGGGCCCACGGCGGCCGCAGCGGGGCTCGCGGCGGCTCTGCGGGAGACACAAGTGAGCGCCCGCGGGGCTCGGCTCGGCACGGAGCGGACCCGCGGGGGGAGGGGGGGCCGCGCTCACCGCTGGGGCCGCCCCACACGAGCTGCACCGGGGCGGCGGCGGCACCGGCGGCCGCCAGCACCTTCAGCGCCGCGGGGCCGCGCACCGGGAGCCGCAGCCGCATGGCCGCGCGCGGGGCACGCCGGGACCGCGCTCTGCCGCAACTCTCGCGAGAGCCGCGCTCGCCCTGGAGACCTGCGGGGACAGCGCCGCGCTGCGGGCACCGGGGGTACCGCGGGCACCCGGAGCACGGGGGGGGCCGCAGCCGGGGCAGCCCCGCGCGTGCCCTCCGCCAGCCCGGGGGCACCGCTGTCCCCTCCCCGCGCGGCTTCGCCAC